ATGATTTATATAGTGAAACTTTTACATAACGGTTTTCACATGATGTAATATGTTTGTTGAGCACACACTTAGATTCTACGTATCATGGGTTAGTCTCACAGGACTTTTACATAAAGAATTAAAAGTCATGCAGGACTATCCCAACAGAAATTACCTTGGAAGAAATAAATAGGAGAGCCGGTGTCCCCGCTATGCTGGATCTCCAGGTAATAGAAGGGAGGGAGGGATGGAAAAGAAAATAAAATAGGAAATGTATCCTTAATAGTAAGAAGTAGAGACTGATGATGAGATAGATAAAGATTGATAATAATTGATAATAAGTGAAATTGTCAAAATGGGAGTGCGCTTGTAGCGGAGAGTAAGATAGGAGCTTTATAATCATCTTTCGACCGTGGAGGTTTGAGAAAGGATGACGTCTCTTTCTACCAATGTGGCGATGAGGTCTAGATGGGTTCTTGATTCCTCTTTCTCGTATCTCCTAAACTTTTAATTGTAAATTATTACTCTTTTGAGATTCATCCGTTACGGATTGATTCATGTCTCCATGGACAAGCTTTACACTTCGTACCTTCTGCAAAGACCAATCCATTTAATCATTCACTACTATTCCTTCTTCCTATGAAAATAAAGTTCTCCCGCCTATATCAGCTTAGTGTTGATCTAGGCGGGAGCAGTGAGGGCTGGAGGCCAAACTCGTGACCTTCAGGTGACGAGAAGGGCCAGTCTTAGGTAATATAGCACCTTAGAGAGAAACTGATAAGGGTTTATGAGGATACCTTATCAGAATCTCCAAAAGGGGAAATTACCTTGGAAGAAATAAATAGGAGAGCCGGTGTCCCCATACTCAGGGCTTGTGGCAGTCCTGAGCCGCTCCGGCTCTCCCCTTTTACTGACGTCAGCCCTCATTCTCTAATCTATTTTCACTTTCCACTGTGATAAGTAGAATTAGGACAAGAATTTGTATTGGCATTTTTGAAAAGCAAGAAACAATATGATGTTATAACAAAACTATGAGTGATAAGATGGAATTTTATCGCCTGTCGAGATTAAAACATTTTCTGCTGATCGCCAATCTGCGTCGCTCCATTCACGTTGATACAGTTTGTGGCAATCGGATTTCCAGCGACCGAGCTTTTTCAGTGCCTCTGAGTCTATCCCTTTCTTGGTAAGGAGGGTTGCCCCTCCAATTCGGAATGAATGTCCGGATAGGTTGCTGTTGACTCCCCATGCTTGCGAGAGGGCTCGGTCTAGAATTGGTCTCGTAATCGCCCGAGTTTGGTTGTCGTCCCAAGTCATGAAGATGCGGGGATCTTTAACCCTTTCCATGCGACGTAGGAGCTTCCCAATGGCCCTGAAAGGGCACAGCCGGCCTTTAGTTTCTCGCAACACTAAATATTGAGTTTCTCCGTTTTTTGAGGTCTTCGCGTCTCGGAGAGTCAAACGTACCGCTCTGTGACCATCTACCAGTATGAAAATCACATCTGACTTTTTGATAGCGGTAATATCTCTTCTATCAAGAACTGAGGACTTATACACCAATTCTCCCATCCTAGCTAAACCCCAATAAGCTGTGAGAACAAGAGCTTTCAAACCTACAGAGTCTATCTCGTTTTCTTCTAGATTATCTACCAATTTCACTAGGTCCTTTGGAGATACTGGTTGTCTTCCGTAAGTTAAAAGAATTGACGTTGTTTCAAGTCTTTGAGATAAGCGTAGGATACTTTGTATTCTCGTAGGTAGAAGAACAGGGGCTGCTATTCCATGGAAATCGTGCCACGTTCGTACTGCTGAAAGGTACTTGTGTATCGTTACAACTTTTATTGGTTTATTCGTTGCTTTGATGTTGTGATTGTGTCCTGCCCACACTACGAAGTGCTCGATTGTTGAGTGTGAGGCTGGAAAGGCTTTGAGACTGAACTTCGTAGTAAACGTTTTAAACTTTTTAACTCCCGAGGCGTAAGATTCTAGGGTTGACTGTTTCCAACCGCCCATTACCATGTGTCTTTGTGAGCTTGATAAAGGTAAATTTATACTGTCGTTGATTCGTAAGAACGGTAAGAGGTCTTTCATTTCGTTGGCAAAAACAACTGGAGGAGGAATTTGATTTAGAAGTTGTGTCGTCTTTTAGAAAAACTAGTGTTACTACTCACAGTTAGTGGGCGTCGAGACCTATGTGGTGTGTGATCTGGCCGGGTCGATGAGGTTCAGTAGGGTTACTTCGATAAGATGTAAGTATCCATCGTCCTATTTAAAAAACTTCTTTAAAAACTTCTTTTAGGGATATCGTATCACAACTTCTAGACGTCCGCTTCTGTCGTGCAAAGGATCATGACTTCTGTGGGCTAGGAAGTAAAGGGAATCTTTATTTCAAATTCTCAAAGACTGATTGTTACAAAAGGAGTGACAAATTCTCAAAAATGACAGTGACTGACTAATTTATATACAAAAAACTATCTGTCGCAATTCACAAATTAAAAATTTTGGACAGATGTCATAGTGTCTGGGAAAACTTAGGAGTGATCGCATTCGTCTGTGTTGCGTAGGTATGATTTCAAATCTTTAGGTAAATCAACCACCACTTGATAATACCACAACAGATGATTGGGTGTGATTCCCCTCGATAACTCGTCGGCTCTGTTGTCGATGGAGGTAACCCTTCTTTGTTCCAACTGACAATTGGTTGAGTATAGGAGAGTGCTGATTTCTTTCCATTCATGGTTAACCCAAAAGTCGCGTGAGCGTTCGTTTCGCAATACTCCTTCAGTGGTGGTATTATCGGTTAGCACTAGAAAACGTAATCCTTCCACTGGTTGCAATTTCTTTAGCATCAGTAGACCCAAACGGACGGCTACCGCCTCGAGCCAAGCTATGCCTTTTTTCGGTTGGCCGGACTCTGGCGGCAAATCCCATTCGGGTAGTAACTTGAATTGCGACCAGTGTTTCCCGATAAGGACACCTATCCCAAAGGACGTTGAGGCGTCACCCACCCAGCCAACGTTAGATACTGATCTTCGTTGTAGTAGGTGTCTGTTCGGAAAGGCTTGTAACGCCTTCAGCCAAACGTTCATATCGCCTCTTACTGTTGATGGCATTTTCCTTGTTGCATATACATTCACCCATTCAGCTAGCCATTTGAAATTATTAGATAGGTAGCAGCGTAGTTGAGGTAAGATATAAGATACGTGATTCAACCTTCCATTCATTTTTTCGACTTCCTTGTGTGTGTAATCAACTTTGGCAAGGAACTCTTCTAGCTGAGCGGTTCGTTGCGATAGTTTCGAGTCAGGCAGACGGACCGTTTTTTCCTTTATGTTCCAAACAAAACCAATGTACTTCTGTTCGTCTGCAAAATGTGAAAATTTTGTTTTGTTTGTTTTCACTCCCAAAGCTGAGCTATAAGCTACTACCTGGTCCATGTTGATGGTGTCTGATTCTTCCTTGATTAGGAGGTTGTCGTCCACCCATTGAAAGACATCAAGTAAGTTGAATTGAAGTTTGACTAAATCTTTCCATGCGTCCGCCGGACCCCCGAAACTCCCACAACCTGCTACTCCACCAAAAGAGATACAGATGTCGATATAATGGAAACCCGCTGAATCGGTGATAATCAGGTAAGGCCATTGACTGGGGAGTGTTCCTATTTGTCGGTACGCCTTCTCCCAGTCGTAGAGGGCTGCTTTTGCTGAAACTGAGAGATTTGCTATAAATTCTGCCACCTTCAAGAAATTATCCCAGTCGTAAGGAAGTTGTCTTTATTTACAAAAGAGTTCACGCTCGGTATGAGAGGATTATTCTTAGGGAAAGATAGATCGTTGATGGGTCTAAAGGACCCATCTCCATTGACTACGGCTCCGATTGGACTAGATCTGAAGAATGGAAATTTTGATCGTAATTCCTCTGTCGTGAATGGGCCAAACATTCGACCGGCCTTGATTTCGTTTTGAATGTTGGACATTACCTTCTCTTGCACTTTGTTTGCAGAACTATGATTTGGTGGGCAATAGAAATCCATTCCATTGATTGTATGAGGTGGGATTCCTTGATCGAAACCTTCAGCAAATCCGTCAATCACAAATTGATATTTTCACTGCCAGCATTAAATAGGTTCCCTGGTCGGAACATGACCTAGGCTGGGAATATCATTGAGAGAAGAATGGAGCATCAAATCATCTTGCACTGCACATCTGAGCCATAAAGCATACACTACATATGTGCAAACATCTGAGTAAATCCTTAGCTATCAGCTACATACAGGTCTGCTCAGTTATCTGCTCATCTAGATAAAAAAATCATGTGTAATACATGCTGTAACTTTGTTCAGATTGAGAAACACATTTCAAAATATTGACTACATATATCACAATGGCTACTCAGGAAATATTCATGGAACTGTGTAACAGTAGCAGAATGGGAATCTGATCACTAGGACCCATATTCCCATCTGGGAACCTCTTTAATGCTGGCAGTGTTTGGTAATAAATCTTTCTTGTACAGCTCCTCCCTCCATAGATCTATGTTCATTTTGCTGTACGGTTCTTTTGGCCATCTTTTTAGGAGACAAACTGCTGGATTAGATTGCTGTGTTCGATGCTCTTTTAATTCTAATGTGTCGCTAGGGGGCTTTGTGTCTTCTCTTCTTCTTACATTTGAGTTTGACAATTCATTCTTTTGATCGTGAATCGGAAAAGAATTCTTGTGGTCATCTACCTGCATGTCTCTATACCTAAAAAGATTATGGGACGTAATGGCAAGCAAATAGAAAAATGGAAGCAAATATGGTAAACACCTCATTCACTTGAAAAATCTTTGGAAAGAAGGTTTTATTTAATTGTTAAAAAAGAGTGATTGGTATTTCATGCTCATGTTTTCAACTTTCATATCAGTTATACAACATTTCCCACATCAGTATTCTCTGATAGTGGTGTTACACTTAATACTACAGTCTCTTGTTAACTTAAAAAACTCTTCTACTTCAAGAAACACAGATAGTTTTAATCTCTTTAAACAAGGGGGAGATGTACAGTCTGACTAGGAAAATTGAGATAAAAAATTCGGAAATTCGAAAGTGATAAATGTCTGTAAAAAACTAGCTAAAACTCACTGTTGGCGTGGTCTGCCTCTAGTGCTGATCCCACCTCTACCTCTACGATTGTTTCCTCTGCCACTTGCTTCGTTAACTCCTTGATTAAACGTTTGGTTACGAACTTCGTTTTCTCTGGCATTAACTTGAGGTTGAGGTTGATCGTGCCTTTCTTGAGTGAAAGGTGCCCTTGGAGGTCGCACTGCCCTTCTGTTGTGTGACGGAAATGGGTTGTTCGTAGTGGTGTTTCGTCTCTTTTTACTGTTTGTTGATGTTCCTCTAAAAGATTATTTTTTTTTGTTGTCAAATTCATTTTAGCTCCGAACATACTCAGATTTTTCTGAATCGAAAGGGGGCTTACTCATTCCAAGAGCCTGTTATTGGGTTTCTATTTTCGTAACGCCCGCCTTTTGCATAAGGATTGGTGTTTCCAAAAGATAGTTCTCCGGTTTTTGATGCTCGTTCTTTTGCTCTTTTTTCGTAGTTTTCTACGTATAAACTCGCATCTGGCATGGGAACACCTTTTGCTCGATGAGTAGCAAGTTGTGATTGAAACATAATGTCGTATCTGAGGGCTACCATCCAACATTCGGTCGATTCTCTAAAAATTTTTCGGAACCGTTTGTATGTTAGACTTCTATGTGTGATTTTTGTATGTGGACAAAAAGGAACCTCTTCATACGTACTTTATGTTTTTGACATGTTTTATGTGAGTCTTTAATTGCTTCGCTAGTATCGCGAATTTATACGTTTCCTTCAAGTATTTTCTCAGGAGAGAAATTCCATCTATCCATTCACCGAAAGACATTGCGTACTCGGATGGGGGGTTCAATCCTCTATTTCTAGATGATTTTGAAGAGGAAGATGGTTGATTTTTATGACTTTCATCTTGGTCTTGTTGTACGAAGGACGGGTTTAAGACGGTGAGAGGGACCTTCTTGTTTAACTTCAACATCGCTTCATTCCAATAGGTTTGTAAAGTTGGTAGGAGTGATTTACATGGAAGTCCAGATTGAAATCTGATTCCATTTTCTTTAGAAACTTTCATTTTCTTAGATGATGAAGATTTTATCTTCTTCGTCTTCGCTTTCTTACCGTGTTCATTCATTCCGTCTTTCCCTTTAAAGATAGAATTTGGTATTGATTCATTTAGATGTTTTGTTCATCATTTCCAAAATTTTTATTTTAAGGAATTACATACCTTTCTTTTCGACGTTTGTCTCTTTCTTCTTTATGTTTGCTTTTTCTCTTTCTTTGATCGCCTTGTTGATTGCTTTGTCAAGGGATTTAATCGACTTCTTCTTGCCTACATGGTTACAAACCAATGCTTATGTTAGTCTTTTCTTCTCAAGAGATTAAAAATTCCCAGTGGAGGTCACCATCTGGTTCGAGCTTTTCTTTCGAAAACTCTAGACAATTTGTCTCTTCCCCGTCTAGGAGGCGCTCAAACTTGGGAGCTAGCGATGTATGAGGACCATCACTGATGAAAAGTTTTTTAGGAAAAACTTTTACTTACTCTTTTTAGACTTGACTTCTTGTTCTGATGAATCTGAATCGCTCTCAGACGAAACTGATTCTTCTGATGATGACTGAGAATCGTTACTGTCTGATGAATCTGAGGATGATTCGTCTGAATCTTCTGAGGATGGGCCTTCTGAAGAATCTTCGTCCTCTGAGCTGATCAGTGATATTTGTGGTGCCGTTTTGTTTCGGTTTTCGACTTCTTCATCTTGATAGTTCTCCATCATCTCTGCTATGTCATCTCTAAGCTGTTCGTCTAAAGCTTCACCGTCTAATGCGTCGTTGTCTCTTTCTTCTTCTGGATTGTCAGTCCCTTCTAAATTGTTATTGGCTGGGAGATCCTGGTCTGCTCCGGATGATGAAGGTGGTGGGATCTCAATTGGGTTGGCTTGTGAATCGATCGTTCTACCGCTTCTGGTAGCTCTGGTGATTTGTTGTTGACTAGGCATATCTGAGGATTATGTATGTATGGATTATTGAGATAATGGATAGGTGTAGAAATTGGAGGGGATAGATTCTGATCTAAACGAATTGAGTGTGAAATGTGAGTTTTAAAATAGCGATGAATAGAACGTTTAGAATACTAATGCTAAAAACTGATTGTAAACTAGGTTTATAAAGCTCTTATAAACTATTGTTTGTATTGACGAGATCGATTTAAGGGATTTGTTAGATAGTTTGTTTATCGCTAATATAGGTTGTTTAAGATTTAAAAGAAAATAAAATAGGAAATGTATCCTTAATAGTAAGAAGTAGAGACTGATGATGAGATAGATAAAGATTGATAATAATTGATAATAAGTTAAATTGTCGAAATGAGAGTGCGCTTGTAGCGGAGAGTAAGATAGGAGCTTTATAATCATCTTTCGACCGTGGAGGTTCGAGAAAGGATGACGTCTCTTTCTACCAATGTGGCGATGAGGTCTAGATGGGTTCTTGATTCCTCTTTCTCGTATCTCCTAAACTTTTAATTGTAAATTATTACTCTTTCAAGATTCATCCGTTACGGATTGATTCATGTCTCCATGGACGAGCTTTACACTTCGTACCTTCTGCAAAGACCAATGTTGAAATTTTTGCTCGAGAACTTAGGTATCTCTCTTCCATCAAGATCACTTAGATACATATCATCAATTGGTCAATACCATGAAGTTGAGACTGTCCTCAGGCCTTTTTGTTTTACTGGACTTGGCCAAACACTCAAGTTCAACTTTTCATATCCTTACATTGAGTTCAAAGCATGCACTATTTCAAGGCAAGATTGATCAAATCAAGTTGCCTATGAGATAATCAGACCCATCTCACCATGGAGAAAATCAGTGAATCAAACTCTTTTTTCAATCACAATGATTACCTCAGGGTTGCTATTATTCAAACACAAACCTAAAACCAAGATACCAGAGGTCACATTTTTAGACTTTTGTTTGAATTTCAATTTGATGCCAAATCACAACATGACACCCCAATGACAAAGGACTGCTATATTGTGGATGAACATTGAGCTTTAAGGATGTTGATAAGTGAAGTTGCAGATTGAGATGACAGTGATAGAGAGAACCATCTGGTTCAAATTTTGTTAGAGTTGGACTTTTCATTGAATGAGGTAAGGTAGGTGAGGGTATTGATTTGTCTGCAAGCGATTTGAATTTTGAATGGATTGTTCTGAATTCTATGGTTGCTTTGATCTCAAGTGTGATCGAATTTGAATTTGATGTCCAAGGCCTTTTGACTGATGCAAGAGTCATACAGTACCAATCCTAATCAATATCATATTTCTAGTTTGGATGTTAGATGAATAAGTGATTGCAAACCATTTCATTAAATAATAGAGATGACCCCAGCTGGATAACAGAAAATACTTACCTAATCTGGATAAGACAGTGTGTGACAATCATTTGTTTGCTCAACTTGATTTTAGCTCCAAAGATGATTTCTTGCTTGGGGTGGTTATACAATCAATTGAATGAGAATTGATATGAATTCAAAATGGATGTAATGATCATGAACAGGACTAAACCAATGAGTTGTTCTCCAGACTTTCCAACATTATTAGTAGTGACTCAAGAGCTTTTCAATTCCTTGATATAATTCACTTACTCTTAATTGAGTGACTCATATAGATACTGGTTTGCTTGAGAGAGACTCAATGAAAAATTCCATTGTGAGGTGTTGAAGTAATTGTCAGCTGGTCTCTTTTAAAATGAGATGGGATGGAACAGATCTATCTACATGACATCAAAGCTTTTCTACCCCTCAGGTTCAAACAGTTGTTTGATTGTTTCAGTTGACTCAACATGATGACCAAAAAGGTCAATTCAGATATCCTTGAGATATATATGTCAATGTTGAAGCGTACTCACTTTATGTGTTCGCAAACGTCACTACTTCGCAGGCGGGGTGTGCCCTGAAAAGCGACCAAGCTGAGACTTGTTTACCTCCCGTTATTCCACCGAAGCGGTATCCATCAATAGTAAAACAACGCTTGATACCCTTCCGATCCCTGGGATGTCTGGACATGATTCCCCTTCTCGTCGGTGAATGATTAAAAAGTTCACTTGATTTTATCTTCATTTATCAGAACTCGCTTCACTAATTGGTCTTCAAACTGTAGCATGCGTACCAGCAGAAAAATCGAACAAATCAGGTTTGGATCGGATGATCGGGTTCCACCTGTTGATTTATACAAAGAAAGAAGTTCTCAAAGGTCAAAAGGATATCACTCGAGTGCATACCCTTGATGTGATTTCAAGATGTGTCGTAGTTGATTCCTCACCAATTGAGTTCTTGTCGTCTCAATTGGTGACGACAAATGATCCCAAAGTGCGATTCAAAACTGTCTCCAAGAGCTGGGACGATGCTTTATCCTCGCATTGAACATATAGGCCAATGGGCCCCAATGGCTTGTCAGTCCATCGAGTGGCAACGATCTGGTCCATGACACCTTTAGCGATTCGGCCGAATGCGCAAAATCTTTTGTCTTGCGCGCTGATAGCACGTTGCAGGTCACCAGAAAGTCTGTTGAGGTCACTTTAAACATTTGAATTACCTTCATCAGAAGTACACATAGTGCATATAATGGAGCCAAAGACAATGCAAGAGCATCGCCCAAGGATAGCTTGACTGCTGTGAGAGGTGCCATGGGCGTCCGCCATCTTATGATTGTACTTTGACACCAACACAACTACGATTACAGTTGCTCCCACAGCGATAAGGGACCAAGGCTAAACTTTTCAACACCAGACATCACACCGCACCCTAGTATAGGTTGAAGAATCCACTCATACAGACAATAGGATTGTGGTACTCGAGACGGATGCGTAGCCGAGTGCGACATTGACTGACCAAAGGTTGAGCAACTATGAACTAACATGGCTGCAAACCATAGACAAAAAAACAGGATGTCAGCCTAGCTATTTCTTCCGTGTTCAGCGGTCTTTCTGATGACGAAAAAGCACAAGTTACCGAACGTGCTGGAGCCTGGAAATAAAATTTTATCCGATGAGAGAGCTTCTGTATGATGAGCAAAAGGCAAGAGGATGTATGAGGACAAATATTGACCTGGCGAGGCTCGATGTGTTCTGATTGATCTCCAAGCGGGTTGTGCGCCCCTCTGTGTGACCGTAAACAAAAGGCAAATGGCCAATGATGAGGTCCTGAAAAACGAAAGAAGAAAAGTAGGAATCGGCACCTGGAGGCCTGAAGTGTTTACTGTTCATCTGAAGGCTTGACAGATCGACCACACATGGCCTCTGAAGCCTTTGCAGAGCTCAAGTATGATATCGCGGGTCGGATTAGGTAAAGTGTGGAGGATGATAAGCAGATGTATCTATGGGAATTGGTTTGGCACGATCAATTCTTGTCAATGATTGCATTTCAGATTGATCGCCGATGAACCTCAAGGAATCTCCGACGGACGTGACGAGCCAAGGTTGGTTCCAGGATTTGTCCCGGAACTTGGCCTGATGAATGGTGGCAGACATTTGTCAGATCATCACAACCAAACAGACACAATCATGAAATGGAATAGGCTTACACTCATCAGAAACAATGAACTGTGTAGAAAGGCAACATCCAAGTCAAAGGAACAGTAAAAGGTGAGCAAGTTGGTGGTTTGGTTGATTGATATGGAGACCTGCACCTGACCCATGATCCCACCACAATTGATAAGAGACTGATCCCCAAGATATATTGTTGAGAGTTGGTTGACGAGTTCAAACCTGTTGCTCTAGTTGATGGATAGATTGGTGTTTAGGCTGGTTCGGGAAGATCCGTGCAAAGAATTGTCACAAGAGTTTTGAGAATTGAGTTTGTTATTGTGCAATAGGTGTTAACAGCAGTCTATGTCTATGCCAGATTTCAAAACAAATGTGTCCTCCACAATTTCATTGGCTAAACACATTATCACACTGTACCTTTCTCCGTTATCTGTTGGTAATAATGTCTGATTGAAAGTCGGGAATTCAATCACATCAGATGGAGAAGCTTGAAGTACAGGAATTGTGAAGATTCTGCAGATATATGTATGAATTAGGCTCCGAACGGTGTAGAACTCCTACGCTGTGTGGCGTAGGCTGAGCCGGAGAGGGGATGAATCACCGCGCAGAAAGAATAACCACGCGGATGAAACTAAGATCATTGTAGACTGCCCTCACCCTTGAAATAAAAAGTTCAAAAAAATAAAAAATATCACGGAAGCAATTCTCTAACAATTTTTATAACTTCACAATGATAATCCTTAACAGTATTTTAATATTACTAAAAAAAATCTGCAAGAACTGGCGGAGTCCAACAATACACTACCTCACTGTACACACAGAATTAACACAAACCTATGTGAGTTTCGAGTTAGGCGTAATTTTTTTACTACTTGTAATAATAAAAATAATTGAACAAAAATAAAAAAAACCTAGATAAAATATAAGAGGACAGAGATGAAACTTAAGAAATAACCACTTCTAAATCCAATTTTAATCTTTAGCGGAACTACTAAAAAAAAAAATATCTTTAAGGAAAAAACCTGAGACCTATATGGGGTTTGAACCAAGGATCCAGGCTAGGTCTGTGTAAAGGCCTTTCACGTATTGTGAAATGTAGCAAAAAAAAAAAAAAAAAAACTATCTAATCCTTGACCCAGCTCAGCAACCACGGATTCCAATGATTCAATAAACTAAAGAACACCAGCACCCAACTTATTCAATTTTAGGATTAGTTAAGCTTAAAGACAACAGTCAAACAAAGCTCAAGACTTCAAAACACTTCAAACAAGAACACTTTATTGATTTAATTTGAATTTTCTTAAGGGCCCGTTTGGTTGCGATTATTTTACTGCGATTATGCCAATACCACAGTAAAATAATTGCAACTATTTTTTCACTGTTTGGTAGCCCAAAAACACAGATTATTGTACAACATTATTTGTTCAATAATCTCATAATCTGTATTAATTCTG